GAGCATTCCAAATCCAAAATGCTCCAAAGAGCATTTCCCTTGAGCCATGTAGGCCCTCAAAAAGTTTGATTTTGGGTTTTCTGATTTGGGATGCTCAACCTGTATTACTACTTCTGTTATTACTAAAAGTATTATCATTATCATCATCATCCCATTTATTGAAATAGTCATTACCCCAATCCAAGAAATGATTTTTTTATACCTCCCAATATTAAGTACAAACCCTTATTATACACTCCCATAGTATATTTTACTTTCCCATGCCTAATACCCAACACCGTTATAAATTCCTTATCCAATGTCTATTTTCCCAACTAGAAAGGATCATTAATGGACCCTTAGTACCCTCACCAGTAAAAATAAAAACGCTAATATTAATTACCTCATAGGGTTGTTGCTGAGGGTTAACTTGTGCTTAGACACAGCAATCACCATATGTGTTGCCTATTATAATTATTATTCCATGTCTTGGTTTACTTATTTTCTATGATTACCCAAAGTGAACCAATAACAAAAATAACAATCTCAGGCTTCTGAACTCTTCTCCTTCAATTACATACATTCAGCACATGAGATTTTCTTAATGTAAACCTAAAATGAAATTTTAGCATCAGGTATAATCATTTTAAAATATTATTATTAAATAGGCTTTCCTTGACATGTCAAATAATTCAGGTCATAAAAATGTAATATGTTTCCACTTAACTTCATTTTCCATCAGCTCTTTTCGTATATACACACATACCAGTAATATATACGCTATGAGGCAGAGCAGTTTTAGGTGCTCAGTTCACCAATTTGCAACTAAGGTCTATGGTTGGTATTACAAGTTGTTAATGTCCCATATTCAAAGTTGAAAGTACTGTTGGCTTCTGTGGTCAGCACTTCTGCAGAGGAATAGCCATTTTAATAGAACTGTTCCATCACTGTTTCCACTACTGCTATCCACCACTGTCATCCTCCCACCAAGGAGCCAAGAAGGACTAAGACAAAAAAGGAGACCCCTGCTTCTATTCCTTCTCACAACCCAACATTAGAGGAGTTATGCATCAAGAAAGGGTGGAGGGAAGTTTGTGACAGCTAGACCACATCTCTTCTTCACTACAAACCTAACCTGGAAGGGAAACTGAGGTTGAGATAAATGGAGGTTGAAACTGAATATGAGACTGAAATTTCTAAATAAATGTACCCAGTCTTAAATAACTGTAAGATACTGTTTTAACTGCAAAAAATAAAAGAAAAGAAAATGTATAAGGACTGAGCTGTGCTCAAAGAATCCTGTCACCAAGTGGGAAAATGAGGTAGATATAATAGGACAGCTTATGATGAACCTATTCCATGTTTATATTACAGTAAGTTGAGAATCCACACTAGTAAAATTTATCTATATTTATTACAATATAATCTAGTGAAGTGAGTACTTTCAAAGATTATACATTATGAGTTATAGTCATACCCCCAACCAAGAGCTATATTTAAAGTTCAAAACAATTTTTTAAAATAAAAGCATAAGGTACCCTTTAATCAGGAACAAGCATTATATTTCAAGATGTTTCCTTTGTAATTGTTATTAACTAGATCAATGGTGTGATAATGTCTTTAATATGTATAAGTCTCAATTATGATTTTCCTGGGAGAGCTATAATGATGGAGCCAGCAAGCACTAAAAGCAGGTAAGGGCAAAAGCAGCCACCTTGGAGAGAAGTAAAGGAAGGAGAGACACTAACAGTCTAGAAAATGGTTTGTTTATAGAAAGGGTAAACTCAGAAACATTTAACCAAAGTTGTTGTTTTCTTTTCTTTTTTTTTTTTTTTTTTTGAGATGGAATCTCATTCTGTCATTCAGGGTGGAATACAGTGGTGTGATCTTGGCTCATGGCAGCCTCCACCTCCCACGTTCAAGCTATTCTCCTGTCTCAGCCTCCCGAGTAGCTGCAATTACAGGAGTGCGCAACCACACCCAGCTAATTTTTGTTTTAGTTTTGAGACAGAGTCTCATTCTGTGGCCCAGGCTGGAATGCAGTGGGGCAATCTCACTGCAACCTTGCATCCTGGGTTCAAGCAATTCTCCTGCCTCAGCCTCCAGGGTAGCTGGGATTACAGGTGTACACACCATCACACCCAGCTAATTTTTGTATTTTTAGTAGAGACAGGGTTTCACCATGTTGGCCAAGCTGGGCTCGAACTCCTGACATTGTGTTCCACCTGCCTCGGCCTCCCGAAGTGCTGGGTTTACAGGCGTTAGCCACGGCAACCAGCTGACATTTGACCAAAGTTTTATCTGGTCTATCCTTAGTCTGTCAATGGCAAAACTATCCTATCAACATCATTACTGAACATCACTCCCCTTCTACTCCTTTGTGATACAAACTCCTCTGACGTTGGGTTGTGAGAAGAAACAGAAATAAGGTTCCACTTTTTCATCTTAGAAGATGAAAGGAGGAGTAAAATAAAATCACTAACCATAAAGGGTTTCCCGGAATGCAATCATTCCGTATATGTAAAAGCATCTGTAACAAGAAATACTCCTATAATAGACAGGACTTTAAAAAGAACTAAAGAAAGAATGATAGCGGGAAACTTAAGCAGCAATTAAAAAGCGAAATAAGAGTAGTGTCAAGCAAAAAGAGCGAAGAAATCCTTCAAACAGACTGACAGATACTCATTCTGAAGGACACAAACACAAAGAACCCTAGAGCCAAAATCCATCTGATAAGCAGCTGCAAAGCACAGAATTCCCCTTTCAAACAAAGGCTAGCTGGAAATACTTGAAGAATCATTTATTTTTTGCTTGTATATTTACATGTTGCTTCTCAAAAGTCAGCGAGTTTTTACTATTTCTGCTCCAAATGAAAATGCTCTAGGACAGAGAACTATTGAAATCGCCAAATCCAACCGCATTTACAAAGAGAAAATATAGGCCCAAAGAGACTTAAGTAACTTGTCCAATTTCTTTTTTTGAGACGGAATTTCGCTCTTGTTACCCAGGCTGGAGTGCAATGGCTCGATCTCGGCTCACCGCAACCTCCGCCTCCTGGGTTCAGGCAATTTCTTTCAGGAAGTTAATGCTAGGATGTACCTACTCACATGACTGTGGTCATACTTTGACCTCACAAGGCCTCTCTAAGGTGTCAGACATTTGGGGCCACTACGAATATTAAAGAATTTGCAATGAATTCATAAGGCAGCTTCAACAGAAGAGGAATACATATCACTTCTGTAGTGCCACTTTGAAGGAAGATGTCAGATATAGCTGTGTACTACACACACACACGTGCACACACACACACACACACACACACCAGCCTCCTGAGCAAAGTAGCTGGAACTAGAGACAAGTGCCACCAAATGAATCGGTACATGTGTTCGGGCTTATTTATTAAAATACTAACCATATTCCTTTTTAGTTAAGTTACTCCACATACCTCTGAATTCTCCATCTATCTCAAGGTTGGTCACGTATCAACTGTTTTCAATTAGAGTACTGAAAACTCGTTTAAAAAAATCCTTGCTTCAAACACTTTAAAGTCCCATTCCTATGTCTGGTCCCACCTTTAAGAGGATTTCTGCATTTGGTTAACGTCCTTCAGAGCAGAAACAAAAAGTATATCCCTCCCCTTTTAATATCCTAATTCCATAAACAGCAATTCTAAAGACAGAAGATATTTTGTGTAGAGTAAGCATCCTAAAATGAGATTTTAATATTTCTTCAAAGCTGAAATTACATACCTACACACATAGATCAATAGATGTTCTTACTGTTTTACTGCTTTAAAGTAACTGGCAAGGCCCAGCATGGTGGCTCAGGCTTGTAAACCCCAGTACTTGGAACGGCTGAGGCAGGAGGATCTCTTGAGGCCAGGAGTTTAAGACCAGCCTGGGCAACACAGCGAGACTCCATCCCTACAAAAAAAACATTTAAAACCAAAAAATGACTGGCAGGATGTGGAATTATAAATAGATTTAACATACTTGATGCCTATCTCTATTTTCTAAACGAATGCTCATTTATTTTCATAACCCTAAAATGTTAAAGCAATTAACAAAAACAAAATAAGACATGGCTAGGGTGTCTGCTACCTGTTAAAGGAAGCCAAGGACACTGGAAGTTACCCTATGTATTATGCTAAAACTGTTCAGCAGCATTTAAAAATATTCTGTAAGTTTTCAATATCACGTCGTTACAACTGACTGTTTTAAAGAATGGCATAAAGCCACTGCGGTGAAAAGAAAAAAAGAAACATCAACACAACACAAAATAAACAGGAACTGAGAAAGTTCTGCCACAAGACAAAGCGCAGCCTTTCAAAAAGTTCACGATGCAAAAAGTCAACTAATTTCCAATGTTAATGAAGCGTTTTGTTTTACAAAGAAGGATCTGGCTTTTTATGTTTCGGTTAGGAAGTGAATCCTGACAGCTGACAAACAACAAGACTGACCCAAACCCAAACCAAAGCCGGCACAGCGCTCTTCAAGAATCGAAGACTGAAAACATGGACGTCATAACTGGTTCAGTCTTCACCTCCCAGTGGGAGGGAAAGAGAGCATGGATCGCACCCTTGAAATACTTGGCGGGGAAAGAAAATCCAGTCTAGGTGAGGAAAGCAGGAAGAGCAGAGCAGGAAGAGCCGGCACGCAGCTGAAAGTCTTGCGACCCCAGAGCCTAACGAGTCCTTCCTTCCTCGCACCCGGCAGCCGCCGCCCCAGCCGCGTCGCCCGCCCGGGCCCAGGCACACCTGCCAGGCCATTCAGCGACCCACGCCCGGCGCCACTACCGCCACCTCCCCCCAGCCCTCAGCCTGGGTCGGTCGCGCGGGAGGGAAAGGAGGACGGGCTCACCAGGTCCCTCCGGGCTGGACGGCGCCGGGGGCCGGTGGGGCGGAGACCCGCAGCCGGGGTCCCCCTGGGCGGGTTCCCTCAGGTAATCCTCGAAGCGCACCTGCCGGGCTTCGCCGCCGCCCGTGAACCCCCACAGGCGGTTGGCAGTGCCCCGCAGCAGGCGCCCGCTCTTCCCGGTGAACGTGGTCAGGTAGTCCATGCTGCCGCCGGGCCAGACGCGGAACGTGGACCCAGGAGGTCAACAGTTTTTGGGGTGGCGGCCACCACAAGCGCGCCCACCCGGCAGTGCGACCCGACCTGGGGTAGGCGGCTCCGCGCGCCTCACAAGAGGCGGGGAGGGGGAGGGGGGCGTTCCTCTCCCGGCCCGGGGACGGACCATCAGGAAACCATGAGTCGGGGGAGCAGAAGACGGACAAAAGTTTTTGAAAAGTTTTTCCTCCGGCTTTCAAGTGCGAAATGAGGCAGAACTTAGCTTGCCAAATAGGTATATTCTTCCTGGAACCGACGCAGTGTCAGAAAGCTGGTCGCTTTTAAGCAAACTGGACGGGTCCTCTCCGCGCACCCCCCATTCGCCTGGCGCCAATGGAGCTGGCCTGCCCCGCCCTGCCCCTCCCCGCCCCGTTTGAGCTCCGACCGAACTTTCAGGACTGCGGGGGGAAGACGTGGACACCCAGCCTTCTGCCGAGGTCAGAGAAGGAGATAAAAATGGCCTAGGGGAGACTCTGCTGGAGTTGCATGGAGTTCGGGAGCCTAAGAGGAGTCTGAAAATAACTGTCAAAAAGTTTGAAGGGTGTGTGTGTTGGCGTGGGGGAAAAAGAGGGTGGAGTGCATCACATAAACTTTTGTAGCTAGTATTTACTTTTTTTTTTTTTTTTAGATGGAGTCTCAGATTGGAGTGCAATGGCGCAATCTCGGCTTACTGCAACCGCTGCTTCCCGGGTTCAAGCGATTCTCCTGCCTCAGCCTCCTGAATAGCTAGGACTACAGGCGCCTGCCACCATGCCCGGCTAATTTTAGTATTTTTAATAGAGACAGGGTTTCACCATTTTGGCCAGGCTGGTCTCGAACTCCTGACCTTGTGATCCGCCTGCCTCGGCCTCCCAAAGTGCTGGGATTACAGGAGTGAGTCACCAAGCCGGCCTTCTTTGTTGTTGTTGCTAAGGGCAGTGGAGATACTTTCGACACAAGAATGCAGTCATAATTAAAACGTGAATAGTAACATTTTAAGTTCGTTGTGCCATTATGAACTCATGTTAGTGTTGGACATTCTATGATCCCTGTCCTGTTGAAGCAACGTAATTGAGGGCTTTAGTTTTCAGATCTGCCTTTCAGGGACAAAAAATCTACACAGGGAAAGAGCAGTGACTTGACAGACATTTACAACCCGATTTTGCTTCCTGTGAGATCTGGTTAGTCTCTGTCTTTCACATCTGTTTGTAGCTCTTTTAGTTTTTCCAGGCATTAAATAAGTAAACCCTCTTTTTTGGAATCACTACTCTATCAATATATTGAGGAGAAAAAAAGATTTGAATTTCTTAGGGAGTTGAAGAAGTACCCACTCTAACAATAGAATCCAGAAAATCAGGCTTAAGCTTTTGGCCAAACTACTAAAGATTATCCCTCCTGACACATACCCTTTTTTTTTTTTTTTTAACCAGTTGACTGATCTTTTTCTCATCACTATTTTCAGCTTAAATTCTTACTAGGTTGGATAAATTTCACCATTTTAATATCAACATCACCATTATGCCTGGTGAAAAATACAGAATATCTGGGCTGCACCCTAGAGTGTCTAATTTGGTGTTTATAGGAAAGGGGGCCAGGAGAATCCACGTATCCAGCAATCCATGATTTCAGGGTTGTGTCTTGGGAAATAACTGCTCCAGACTTCCATACTTCCTAAGGACCTATTTTGATGTTGCAATGTTAGGAATGTTTGTGCTTTCCCGCAAATTCGTATGCTGAAATCCTAACCCCAATGTGATGGTATTAGGAAGTGGGGCCTTTGGGAGGTAATTCATGAGGATAGAGACTTCATTAATGCAACTTGTGTCCTTATAAATAAGGGACCTAGAGAGCTGTCCCCATCTTTCTGCCATAGGAGGACACAAAAACACATCAGTTTGCAAAGCAGAAGAAGGTCTTCACCAGAAACCAACCATGCTGGCACCCTGATCTTGGACTTCTAGCCTCCAGAACTGTGAGAAATAAATGTGTGTTTATAAACCACTCCTCTGTGGTCTTTATTATAGCATCTGTAAAGAACTAAGACAGCTACTAAGTAGCATTCCATTTGACAAGCCTTACCATGCACACTTCTTCTGAGTTCAATGAAAAAGAGGCTCTGTAGTTTTAAAAATCAAATTTCAATGGCTTAGTCTAATCCTCATTAACAATTTAAATTTTTTTTCTAAGATATATTTTACGTCTTCTCAGAATTTATTGGTTATAAGCATAATGAATGCTTGAGATTTTACCTCATTAGATCTGCACTTTTACATCCAAAATTTGCAGGAACCTTCATTCTACCAATTCAAATACAGATTTACAGGTAGTTAACCTATATGTATTTTTTTTCCTGCTATTTCATAGAAGGCTAGAGCTACTGGAAAAAAATGTACAACTTTGATGACTGAATGCCTTACAATCTTTGATTTAAACTCAGCGGAGTCTTAATGTCTCTAAAATCCTTTTATTCATAGAGTCAGTGTTCTCTTTTATTCTCTATATTTGTTGTTTGAACTGTCATCATTCTCCTAAAGTTACCAAATTCATCACTTGAACATGTTACTTTGCCTTCTACATGACTCAGAAAATCATAGGCCATCAATATGAACACTTGTCCTTCCTTTTTCTCTTCAATCTACTTCAAGTTGCTCTCTCTCTACGTTGCCTTAGAAGAAGGTCTTTATTCCTGTCTATATCTTTCTTCCAAATTTTCTTTGGATAGTCTAATTATGTTGTCTGTGACTTACCAGCTTTATTATTCCTCTCTGTTCCTTTTCACTATATTTCCTTTCCTCTTATCCTTCCTCTATCAGACACATAAATCCCTCTCACCCTTAAAAAAAAGCTTTCTTATATACCATGCCTGCTTTTTCAAGCTACCTTTTGCCTCATTAAAAAAAAACAAAAAAACTTTATTGATATGTAATTTATGTACTGTAAATTTCACCTGTTAAAATTACACAAGTCACCTGGCAACAATTCAGGGTTATAAAGCCATCATCAAAATCTATTCTTTGAACATGAACATTTCCATCACCATAAAAAGTAACCTTTTACCCAACTGTAGTCACTTCCCAGTCACACTTGCAGCCCTAGGCAACCACTTGACTATTTCTGCCTCTGGATTTGCCTTTAATAGACATTTCATATAATACTTGGTCTTTGGGGTCTAGCTTCGTTCACTGAATGTTTCTGAGGCTTACTCATGTTGTAACATGTACTAGTACTTCATTGCTTTTTACCGCCAAGTAACATTCCATTATATAAAATATAGAATGTCTTATTGATCCATTCATCCGTCGATGGATATTTGGATTGTTCATACCTTGTGGCTATTATGAATAATGTTGTTAGAAACATCTATGTAATTAAGTTTCTTTGTTGACCTGTTTTCATTTTACATATATAGATAGGAGTGAAATTGCTGGGCCAAAATGGTGGCTTTCAATGTGCAAAAAGGTTTAATTTTGATGAAGTCCAATTTATCAATTTTTATTTTTGTCACGTCTGCTTTTTGCATTGTAGCTAAAAAATCATTAACTAATCCAAAGTATGAAGATTATTATGTTTTTTTCTATGAGTTTTATTTTATTTAGCTCTTATTTTAGGTCTTTGATCTATTTTGGGTTAATTTTCAGGTTTGGTGTGAGGAAGTGATCCAAATTCATTCCTTGATGTTTGGCTATCTAGTTGTTCCAGCACCAGTTATTGAAAAGATGATTTTTCCCCATTGTCTTCACATCTTTATCAAAAATTAACTGACCTTAAATATAAGGTTTCTGGACTATCAATTGTATTCCTAAACCCATGACATTACCAAGCTATCTTGATTACTGTTGCTTCCTAGTAAGTTTTGAAATTGGGAAGTGTGAGTCCTCTCATTTTGTTCTTCATTTTCAAGATTGTTTTAGCTATTTTGAATCCTTTTTATTCCATATGAATTTTAGGATTTAGCTTGTCAATTTCTTCAAAGAAAAAAAGTCAGTTTTAATTTTGATAGGCATTGCATTAAATCTATAGATAAGTATGGGAAGTATCGCTATATCTTCCATAAACAAAAGAATGTCTTTCCACTTACATAGATCTTAAATTGTTTTTAACATGTTTTATGTTTTTCATTGTATGAATCTTGTAGTTTTTTATGACCTACATTAATGTTTTAATTTTGTTGGTATTGTGAATAGAATTTTTTTAAGATTGTCGTTGCTACTATACAGAAATAAAATTGATTTTTGAATACTATCTTTGTATCGTACAACATTGATGGACTTACTAATAAATTCTAGTTGTTGTTAAGTGAATTTCTTAACATTTTCTCTATATAATTACATGTTACCTATAAATAAAGATGGTTTTGTTTTTTTCCTTCCAATCCAGGTGCCTTTTCTTTTCTTGCCTAATTGCTCTGGTTAGAACTTTCAGTACAATATTAAATAGAAGTTGTGGGAGCCGATACCATTTTATTCCTGAATTTGGAGAAAAAGCATTGAGTCTTTCACAATGAAGTATGATACTATCTGTTGTTTTTTTGTAGATGCCCCTACTCAAGTTTAGGAAGCACCATTCTATTCCTAATTTCTGATTTTTTTTTGTCATAAATGGATGTTAGATTTTGTCAAATGCTTTTTCTGCTTCTGTTGATACAATATTGTGCTTTTAATCCTTTAACCTGTTAATATAGTGTTTATATTAATTAATATTTGTATATCAAATGAACCTTGCCTTCCTTAGATAACATGTAGAAAGTATAATATGATGCTTGATTTGGTTTATTGGTATTCTGTTGATGATTTTTTCTCTATATTCACATTACATATTATATTGGTTTATACTTTCTTCTCTTGTTATATCCTTGTCTGGCTTTGGTACTTGGGCAATACTGGCCTCTTATAACGACTTGGGAAATATGGCATCCTTTTCTAATTTTTTGGAAGAGTTTCTAAAGGATTGTTACTAATTATTCTCTAAGTGTTTAGTAAAATTCACCATTGAAGCCATCTGGACCTAGACTTTTCTTTCTGGTAATATTTTCAATTACTATAATCATTTACCTCATATATATATATGAGGTATATATATATATATACCTCATTTACCTCATATATTTTACTTCATATATATAAAATCTGTAGATCAGTATGGGAAGTATCGCCATGTCTTCCATAAACAAAAGGATGTCTTTCCACTTATGTAGAACTTCAGTTGCTTTCAGCAATGTCTTGTGCTTCTCATTGTATAAATCTTGTAGTTTTTGTGACATACAATTAATGTATGTATGGTTTTTTTTTTTGGTTTCTACAAATTATTTTATTAGAACGTCAAACTCAAAAGGAACTACCAGGAACATGCCTGACATGACACCTACTGTCATTGCATCCAGAATGTGTTTTATATATATGTGTGTATATATATATATATATTTTTCTTTCTTTTTCAGATTTTCTATTTCTCCTTGCATCAGGTTTGGCAGGTTTTGTCTTTCTTAGGAATTTGTCCATTTAACCTAAGTCATCTAATTTGTTGTTCGTAGTATTCCTTTATAATCCTGTTCATTTCTCTGATTTATATTAATATCAGCTCTTTATTCCTCATTTTCAAAATCTGAGTCCTGTTTTTTTCTTGCTCAGTTTAAATCTTTGTCAATTTTGTTGTTCCTTGCAGAGAGCCAACTTAATGTTTCATTAATGAGGTTTCTCTAATGTTTTTCTATTTCCTATTCCATTAATATCCACGCTAATCTTTATTATTTCCTTCTTTCTATTTGCTTTGTGTTTAGTTTCTTCTATTTCCCCCTCCAACCTCCCTAGTTTCATAAGGCAAAAGGTTAGGCTATTGATTTGAAATCCTCTTTTTTCCTAATATAGATTTTTACAGCTACATACCTCATTAGTTCTGTCCCACAAATTTTAGTATATTGTATTTTAGTTTTTAATCTCAAAGTAATTTTCCTTATGACTTATTATTTGACTCCTTGGCTATTTAGGAGTATGTTGTTTAACTTCCCACTTATTTGTGAATTTCCCACATTTCCTTGTGTTTTTTTTACTTCTAACTTAATTTAACTATAGTCAGAGAACATACTTGGTATGATTCCTTCTTCCTTTCAAAATCACTGAGTCTTTTTTATGGCCTACTTTATAGTCTATCCTGAACAATATTCCATTTTCCCTCATTTTTAAGCCTTCCATTCATCAACGAATTTCTTGAAAATTCCCATTTGCTGCTTCTCTTAAGCTGCTACCCAAGCTCATTCTAGGCAATTTGTCAACCATTCATTCAGCTTTAATAAATGCTTATTCAGCACTAAGATAGAGAGAGTCCCTATTTCTATGGCAATTTCAAGCTAATGTTAGACTCCCAAAGATCACCAGTGCCAGTACAAGATATTTTTGTATGATTAGAAAGAGATACCCCTGCAAATAGACACATTACAAAAAGGTATCCCTAATCCAAAAACACAATTAAGAAAATAATTCCATTTATAATAGCATCAAAAGACAAAAATACTTAGAAATAAATCAATCCAAGGAGGCGCAAGACATATACTGAAAAATACAAAACATCATTGAAAGAAATTAAAGAAGATCTAAGTAAAGGAAAAGACATCCCATATACATGGACTAGAAAACTTAGTATTGCTAAAATGGCAATTCACAAATCAATATACAGATTTAATACATTCCCTTTCAAAATTCCACTGCTTTATTTACAAATATGAAAAAGCCCATCCTCAAATTCATGTAGAACTACAAGGAGCCCTGAAAAGCCAAAACAATATTTAAAAAGAAAAACAGAGGTCAAGGACTCATACTTCCCAATTTCAAAACTTTCTTCGAAGCTACAGTTAACAAAAACTGTTGTACTGGTGTAAGAATAGACGTACAGATCAATGAAATAGAATTTAAGGTTCAGAAGTAAACACATACATTTTGGGAAAACAAACTGATTTTCTTTTCTTTTCTTTTTTTTTTTTGAGACAGAGTTTTGCTCTTGTTACCCAGGCCGGAGTGCAATGGCATGATCTCGGCTCACCGCAACCTCTGCCTCCTGGGTTCAGGCAATTCTCCTGCCTCAGCCTCCTGAGTAGCTGGGATTACAGGCACATGCCACCGTGCCCAGCTAATTTTTTGTATTTTTAGTAGAGACGGGGTTTCACATATTGACCAGGATGGTCTCGATCTCTTGACCTCGTGATCCACCCGCCTCGGCCTCCCAAAGTGCTGGGATTACAGGCGTGAGCCACCGCGCCCGGCCCAACAAAGTGATTTTCAACAATGATGCCAAGGCCATTTAATGGCGAGAAATAGTGGCTTCAACAAGTGGTGCAATAACAACTGCATACTCACATATGAAAGAAGGAAATTAGACCCTTAGCTCACACCATAGACAAAAATGAACTCCGAGTGTATTAAAGACTTAAGTGTAAGGGCTAAAACTATTAAATTTTTAGGAGAAAAGTGGGTAAATCTTCATGATCCTGGAATTGGCAATGGACTCAGAGATGACACGAAAGGCATAAGCAACAAATGAAAAATGCCTCATTACTAATAAGAGGAATGCAAATACCTGCCAATAAATACCATTTTCTTCTATCAGGATGGTGCAGGTCAAAAAGTTTAAAGTCATTTTGGTAACAGTGGGTGAAAACTACCACTTTCATATATTACTAGTAGGGGAGTGAAGAATGGTCCTATCATTTTGCAGAATCATCAAAGAGGGCCATTTTGCAGGATCTATCAACATTTTTAAAGCACATACCTTTTGACTCAGTGTCTTCAGTTCTTGTTATTTATCCTACTGATGTATGAAATGCAATTTTCTATTTGCAATAGCAAAATGTTGAAAATATCCTAAGTGGTGGCTAATAAATGATTAAATAAAATATGACATGTCCATATAATGCAATATCATTCAGCCATTAAAAATAATTAGTTCCTGGTAAAACTGATTATGAAAAAATCTTGAAAAAGTATTTTTAAGGGGAAAAGATACAGAATACCACATATGGTATGCTTCAATTTTTGAAAACAATGTAAAGCATATGTAGTTATCCACATACAAATAAAAGATTTGTGTTAGTATATATAAGAACTGTTAGAATATACATATATAGCATATGTTAGAATATATATATATGACAACCACTATATATATATGTTGTCTTCTGAGAAAAGAAGTGGGTGGCTTAGGGTGTGATGAGAGGGAACTGTAATTACTTTCACTGTGTGTATAACATGCACGTATCACCTATTCAAAAATGATTTTTTAAGTTGAAAAGAACTTTTTTTCATAAACCCATTCTATATTCTAGGAGCTTGCTAGACTGTCCACTATAAACTTGACTGTCATTCAACTCCCATGAAAGGCATTTGAGATAGACAGCATTTCTTAATCATCAGTAAGAAAAATGTGATCTTTCTTAAGACATCTAAGAGTTACAGGCATATCAAGTTAGGTCACCTGCAGTCAGTGTAACTGAGGTATGTCTCATCATTAAGAACATGAGCTATGAGTCTAACTTCATATCCTGCCACTTACTAGCAGCATAATGGGAAAGTAACTGACTTAGCCTCTCTCTCCCTCAGGTTCCTTACTGGTAAAATAGAGATAATATAGAGATGTTTGGAAGATTTCATAACATTGTGCAAGTAATGTGTCTACAAAAGTGCCTTTCCAAATTATTATTTCCTTTTTTCTATTTGCTTTGTGTTTAGTTTCTTCTATTGGTAAATGTGAGCTATAGTGCTTCCTATAAAATACATTATCAAGTTATACCATTAAGTTTATATTTTAAATTTTTCTTTCTTTTTTTTTTTGAGATGAAGTTTCACTTTTGTTGCCTAGTGCTGGAGTGCAATGGCATGATCTCAGTTGACTGAAACCTCTGCCTCCCAGGTACAAGCAATTCTCCTGTCTCAGCCTCCCAAAGAGCTAAGATTACAGGTATGTCCTACCATGCCTGGCTTTTTTTTTTTTTTTGTATTTTAGTAGAGTTCAATGCAAGAAATAATTGTGTGAGGAACTGATGCTGAAGACATTATTCATTATGTTGTTAGTTAGTGTATTTTAAAATATTTTTGACAGATATTTAGAATTTTATATCAGAAAAAATCCTTATGAAGACAGTACAGCCTTTCATTAACCAGATAATACATGACCATCTTTTGTTTTGTTTGTTTGTTTTGTTTTTTTTCAGAAAAGTAGGACTACCTTGCCATTTCCTTTGATTAGTAATTTCTGGTGTAATTGGAATTATTATTATTTTTACTAGATGTTTAAATTAAAAGGACAGTATATAACTTCATACATACATATGGGAAAACAAAACTAAGAGTCAAATAGTACAGAAGGTTATATAATAGTAAATTTCTCACATCCTTCCCAAATCAACCTCTATAGCTTTGTGTATATCCTTCTGGAAATTTTGTATGCATATATTTATATAGGGGTTAGTATGTGTATATATGCATGTGCCTATCCTTTTAAAAAAAACACACAAATGGGAGCATATTGTGTTCACAGTTTTGTTGTTGCTGTTGTTTTCTTGTTTGACATAGGGTCTTACAGTTGTGTAAGTGTTTATAGTTTTGTTGTTGTTGTTATTTTCTTGTTTGACACAGGGTCTTCCTCTGTTGCCCAGAGTGGCATGCAGTGATACAATCAGGGCTTATTGCATCCTCAACCTCCTGGGATCAATCCATCCTCCTGCCTCAGCCTCCTGAGTAGCTGGGATTACCGGTACACGCTACCACACCAGCTAATTATTGTAGTTTTTATAGAGACGGTTTTGCCAGGTTGCCCAGAGTTTTCTTGAATTTCTGGGCTCAAAGGATCTGCATGCCTCTGCCTCCCAAAGTGCTGTTATAAGCGTGAGCCAAGGTGCCTGGCCCATGTCCATGGTTTTGTATAAGTATTTTTACTTCACTTTGTCTTATACACCTTTCCCTATCAATTTCTATGAGATCTCTCATTCTTTTTGCAGTTTCAGAGTTCTATTTATTGTTATCTGTTGAAAACGCCTGTTGTTGTTAGTTGCTAGAATATTTAATTATATCACATTTACTTCCAAAAAATTGTAGGAGCTAAAAACTCACTGGAAAGGACATTGTTAATTAGTTGGAAACTTGTATGCTACTGTATGTAGGTTACTTAGTTAAACCACTTCCCAAAATGTTTTAAGAAATTCTGCCCCCTGGCACTATTCCTTAAAGGAAACATTGCTCTTTTAATTGTAGAAATAGTGCCAATGCAATATTTCTTGTTTAAAGCAAATTAATGACATTTTAAAAAGAAAAATTTCAAGTAAGAAAATTATTGCTAAAAATCTGAAGAAAAATGACATGAAATCTAGAAAATGGCTCTGATTTTATTTATATACCAAAAGAATGATATAATCAGTAACCTAAAAATAATTAAAACCATATTAACAAAAAAATTGGTTTGTAATGTTTATATTTTCTTAATAGTTAGATAAATTAAATTATTCCTATTTTAAGGGGACTATTCTTTGATTGTTTACATTGGCCAATGACTGAGGTTCTGGTTAATGTTCAGTTTTCTCAAATTTTTGTTCCTGCCTTACCTCCCATCTCTGTCAGTCATACTATACACCAAACTCTTTGAATTCAAGCTCACTTCTTTATCTTTTTCTGAAGATACATCAAATGGTTTTTCTACTATCATACATTCCCTGACATACATCCTGGCTCAGTAAAACTATTATGAGTAGCCACAACATTGTGTTCATTACTTTTTGAAAATACTTTTCAACACATCTAAAATTATTGAATTTTAGGAAGTAAGCAGAACTATAACATCCTGAGAAAACACAGAGACATCAAATATATGAGCACCACCATGCATCTGCAGATCTTTAAGCAAAATAGTAAAAGTGAAATCTGTGTCCTCATTATAAGGCTAGCTATATTAATAAACTCAGAAAATAACAGCTAGATCTTAAAAGAACAAAATGAAAAAGTAATTTTGTCCCATAACATGTTATATCTTCCTGTCAAACATTTTATAAGATAGAAATATTAGGGTTGGCTCACACCTGTAATCTAAGCAGTTTGGGAGTCTGAGGCCAGAGGAACACTTGAGGCCAGATGTTCAAGACCAATCTGGGCAACATAGCAAGACCCTATCCCTGCAAAAAAAAATTAAAATTACTGGACATGGTCATGCAATCCTGTTAGTCCTAGCTATTTGGGAGGCTGAGGCAGGAGGATCTCTTAGCCTAGGAGTTGGAGGCTGCAGTGAGCTATAGTCACACTATTGCACTCCAGCCTGGGTGATAGGACAAGACTCTGTCTCAAAAAAAAAATCACTCAAATTTCTAATATGATAAGCAAAACCACTGATGGGATCAATAAAGCAGACTGACACTCTGATATTAAACTAAGCAAAGAGATTGTAAGTTTAGAAACTAGGGGATCAATCTACTATACCATCACTACATCTGCATCTGCCAATAAACCTAAAGCTTAACTTTATAGATAGCCAAATTTGTTTTCCTTAAAATGGACCATTTCTTTATTTACAGCATTTGTGTATTTTTCTCCACTAAAATGGTTATGCTAGCATTCAAATTCCTTATCATATATGAGACTTCCACCTGTGTCCCAAATGACCACAAAGAGGAAGAATGTGGGTTAATGTTTGAATACAACCATGATCACAGCATTGAAGAGTATATGACAGAGATTTAATATGGCCTTTCAATAGAGTGGGACAGAGTCTAGTATTAATTTTCTAAAAAGTTCCCCTCTAGGAAATATCAACCTTGGATATAATAATTGCATACCCTACTAAAAACCAAGTAATATTTTCACAATTCTGAAAATTGTCCAAAAAGTGTTAATTTCCTCACTTGTCAGAAAAACACTACATGGCAGTCAAGCCAAACAAGGACTCAGCAATACCATGGTTAAGAATTATAATTGAAACTTAGGTCACAATAAATCACACCAACTTACCATATAATTATTCCAGTTCTATTTTTAATCCTATTAAAGACCGTAATTACAATGATATAATTACAGCCCCCAAATACTCCATACCTGGAATGTGGCAGCTTCTGGAGCTTTTGGATCAATTTCACTCAGCTCACTGGACAAGTGCCAACTGGTATTACCAATGGTATCTAAAGTTGTGAAAACTCAACAAAGCTTTAAAAACCTTTAGAAACAATAGCTCATCAGGATCTCTAAAGAGTAATGTTACATCATGAAGACAAACATTCTCATTTGCTTTCTACTGCAGGTTTCTTTTACTGCCTGAACGTTCATTGAGGTTGCAGTAGAGTGTGTGTGTCTATAGAAGGTACTGTATGCATAGCTATGAGGAGGTCTTACCCTCTGTCTTTTTATCTTTTTGGGCCCTTCCTCTCTACCCTTGTTCTTCCTCTTCTCCTCTCTTAATTCTATAATGGGTGTCCACATGTTGCTCCATCTTCTCATGTTAATTGAATAGAATTTTGATACTTATTCATCTGAAAAACTGATAAGTGAAAACATTTGTTTTATAGTATATTAAGTGCTTTATTCAACTATATTAATTTCACATATTTTAAAGTTATATAACTTTTAGCTAAATTTTTAGAGAGTTTTTAGGTTAGAATTGTTTGAAATAATTTCCCTATCTTTTATTAAAGATAATAGGGCCAGGTGCAGTGACTCACACCTGTAGTCCCAGCCCTTTGGGAGGACAAAGCAGGTGGATCATGAAGTCAATATTGAGACCATCATGGCCAACATGGTGAAACCCAGTCTCTACTGAAAAATACAAAAATTAGCTGGGCATGGTGGCACATGTCTGTAGTCCCAGCTACTTGGGAGGTTCAGGCAGGAGAATGGCTTGAACCCAGGAGGCAGATGTTGCAGTGAGGCAAGATTGCACCATTGCACTCCAGCATAGGTGACAAAGCGAGACTATGTCTTAAAAACAAATAATAATGGAGAGAAAAGGAAACAAATAGGCAGAATAATTTGGGAAGAACGTAAGTCTGTGGCTAGCAAGTTTCCAGCTTTAACCTGTAACCGGTGGTTAGGCAGTTTTTTTGTGGTTGTTGTTCTGTCAGGGGAATGTTTGAACCTGGGGACTGTGTCAATACAAGACAAAATGAAGTACGACAAAAAAAAAAAAAAAAAGACAGCCTACCTTCAAGTTCATCCATCTCAGAAAAAGTGCTGGGCAGCAATGCCAAATTTTTATCAACTGTCCAATTGCTTCAGCCATGATGCATGAACAGCAAACTCCTAAGTGCTGCAGGTAACGTTTGAAAGTAGAACTTATTCCTCTTCCCAAAGTAGATGGGAGTTCCCTAACTCCCCACTTCCCTATACCAAACACGATCTTGGAAAGATGCCAATCACCTGAGGTGAATCAGCCCAAAGGCAGTCAGCATATAGGAAGAGAAACTCAAACCTAGATGGTCAATCTTTATGATCCAGCATTGACTAGACAGGTTTAATTTTCAAACAGAATCACGCACTGGTCATTTTCTCCTGTTGCAGGCCTACTTTTAATTCCCAAGTCTTCCCAGAAAGCAGCAGACACAGCAATACAACCAGATTCAGAACTCAAATCTGTGCTGCTCTAACAGGCTTGAAGGTGAGTTGGATCATATCTAGTTGCCTCTCAAGAGAGAAGCAGAGCATGCTGAGCCACCTCAGCCCCACAGAGTCTCATATGGATGCTAAGCTGGCTGTAGAACCACCACCAGCAGTAGAATTTATCAAATGCATTGAACAAGGACTGATTGGGAGCCACATCTTACCTACCCTACTGGTTTTCTAGGAGTTAGGAAGGAACTGGTGGGGATAAGATTCTTAAAATATACAGACATCAACAACATTGTTAGGCCCTCAGATTGAGCTGGTTCTGCTAACACACTGCATGATATGTAAGCAGATGTATTGATGTTTGCTCATTAAAGCCTATACATTATGTACTAAAATGAAATCTCCCAGCTTAGACTTTACCCCCACTTTAGTCCTTCTCCAACATTGTAGCCAAGGTAATCTGAAATTCACCATCTAAGTATTGCCTTTTCTCTGCTTTAAAAACACTCCTTGTTCACAGCAGCAGCTTCCTGTTGATAATGAGAATCAGCTGTGGAACTTCTTTAAAAAATTCAAATTCTCCAACTGTTCCCAGAGATTCTGACTCCATGGTTGTAGGGTGGAGAACTCAGGAACCTGCATTTTTAAATTACAGGCCATATTTGAGACCTGCTGCTTTATAGTTCTTCCAAATGCTTTTTGCATATTTACTTCATGTGAGTCACACACTGACTGCTGATAAAGGTCCGTGAGACTACATCTGGTAATCACTGAGAAGTGATGTATGTGTTTCATACACGTGTGCAAAGAACAGGCACTGTTTAAAGCTGCCAGTGTTTTATGCTCCAGATGCCTTGGCCCTTGCCTCAGCAGCTAAGGATATAACGTGCATGGGATGTACAACTACAAGATGGTGGAAGCTCCATCAGTCAGGATACCTGAGTAACTATATGGATCAGAGCCCCTGCTCCCAATACGACCCAGAATTGGATATGTAAGATGAACAAGAAATACATCAAGAAATAAACACCTATTTCAGTAAGTCACTTAGGTTTCGGGGTTCATTTAGCATCATAACATAAGCTTAGTCTATCTTGACTGACAGGAGGTTTTGCAAATGATTAAGTTACGTTTTTAATGGTATATTAATATACTAACAACCATTAGATTTGTTAATGACTTTGCTTTTCAATGTCTCTCACCATGTCTCTATTCTGAAAAGTATTCTGAGATTTCAAAACTATTCATTTACCTTTTGTGTATGCAAATAAGGATTTTCTTAATATAATACAACCAGAGGAAAAAACAATGAAAGCAAAATGGGGAGAATGCTGAGTTGCTAAAGCTAAAAAGAATATCCTGATAATTTATACTCCCAGTTTAAAAATTTAGTTTCCTATCAGCCTTATTCTCTCAGTGAGTATCTTTATAATCAGAAAATGTAAATTTGAACTTGCAAAACACATGTAGGTTCATAATTGCCATTTTTATGGATATATATTATGTCTCCCATAAAAGTACACTAGAAAATGGTTGAAAATAATTACTTTTAGAGCTACAAAGAATACATCTCAATTGTCTTTCATACGATACCCTTAACTTACTACTGTCAACCTTAACCATAGGATGTGAGCGGGGCCTTGGTGTTTATCTAGTGAAGCCTTTCATTTTTATAGATTGGGTAACCAAGGCCTAGAGAGGTCAAGTGTATCTCTCGAGGTCACATACTGGGAAAAGAACAGAGCCAGAACTGAGGATGTGCCCATGGGAAATGCTGCCACATGAAGTTTCCCTCCATCTTTTACTCAAGCAATTAACTTACTCTCTCAATTCACCCAAACATTTGGTTAAAGTGGCATGATGTCCCACAAAGCGTTTTCCAGCTGTGAAAGCTAGGTCAAACTATTTACTTATTTACTTATGTAGCTTTCTTAGTTTATTATTATTATTATTTGGAGACAGAGTTTCACTCTGTTGCCCAGGCTGGAGTGCAGTGGTGCAATCTCGGCTCACTGCAACCTCCACCTCCTGGGTTCAAGCGATTCTCCTGCCTCAGCCTCTAGAGTAGCTAGGCCTACAGGTGCCTGCCATCATGCCTGGCTAATTTTTGTATTTTTAGTAGAGGTGTTTCACCACATAGGCCAGGCTAGTCTCTAATTCCTGACCTTGTAATTTGCCCACCTCGGCCTCCCAAAGTGCTGGAATTACAGATGTGAGCTACTGAGCCCAGCAGAAATGTAGCTTTCTAATTTGTAAAATAACAGCAAATAGTGCTTAACTTGGAGTTCTTCTATGATTAGAAAGGAGATGACATATGTACAGTGTTAGGCCCATTGTTCCATGGCCTTAAATTTAAAAAATTGGATTTATTCCCTTCAGATTTCAGCCTGTTCTTCTAGACCAGGGAACAGCAAACTATGGCCTGTGAACCAAATGTGGCCTGCCACCTGTTTTTATAAATTCTGTTTTATTTGAACACAGCCATGCCCATTCATTTGTGTATTGTCTATGGCTGGTTTGGGACTATACCAGCAGAGGTGACTAGTGTGACAGAGACTTTATGGCCCAAAAAGCCTAAAATATTTGCTCCCTGGCCCTTTTTCAGAAACATTCTGTTAGACTATATTCTAAACTGCTGAGGTCATTTTGATTCTTTCACCCACAGTGTCATTCAGGATCCCTAATTACTGGGTCAACCACAAATTTGCCTCTTTTAAGGTTGTTCAGAAAAAATATTTAATGAGACATGGTCAAGGAAAGTCACAAGACACAGGTCAAGTGACTACCTTCGAGGTTGACAATGAATTACAGATGTGAGCTACAGATGTGAGCTCACTGAACACATTAATCTAAAGAAGTATGAATCCACTAAATGCTACTATCACCCAGAACTCATTTATCAACAATGCCACATATTAGTTAAATACCTTTCTAATATGCAAAAGATGAGGTACAGACTCCAAATGATCACTTTTTTCCCTTCTGAAATGGTTTCAAGTCTATGATGTTTCCATATCCTTTAACTCCATTTCAACCCCATTTGTGAAATTTGGATTAACCACTTAACTACAGATTTCTGGCAGATCTCTCATTATCCAGAATGAGATACAGAATGGCTAGCTGTCACCAAACCTGATTCTTCTTTTTTTCTGGGCATATAGTGACACTATATTTCCCAGATTCCTTTTTGAGCAGCGGTGCTCAAGTGACCATTTTTTAGCTAATGGAAGGACTGCAGAAATGATGTGTGCTATTTCTAGGCCTGGCCAAAGAGAGCTCCCATTGTGATCTCCATGTTCTTTTCTTTTCACATACTTGTAGCAGATAAACATGGTGACTTGAGAAGCATTTATTAAATATGACAGAGCCTTGAGATAGAAGATCCCTGGGTCCTTGAATCCACCCTTAGAGGAAATCCACCACCACCTAGGAGCTCCAAATGTAGGCTCAAACAAGAATCAACTTCTCTTATATTTAAGCCATTTTATATATTTTGAGGTTTGTTACAGGAGGGAGTATAATTGTCAAAAATATACTATGATTCTGGTAAGATTATTGCCAAAGGTTTTGTGACCACATAGGAAAATACTCTGGTTTTATGGACCAAGAGGTTTCAATTCATGTAAAGTAGATGTAGGTGTTCTTTCACTGTATCCCTGTGTGCCTTAGCCTATAAATTTCTATTTTACAGTATTTCTTTTGTACCTCTTGTAGTTCATTCTTCTTAATTGAGAAAAATAAAGCAAAACTGAGGCTGAATGTGACTGTACACATCTGAAGTCACAGCTACTTGGAACACTGAGCTGGGAGGATCTCTTGAGCTCGGGAGTTCAAGCCTAGCCAGGGCAATATGGCAAGACCCCATCTCTAAAAATAAAAATAGCTAAATAGGCATTAAACTTACTCTGTCTTTTAATAAACCATTAAACAACACAAGCCTGCCCATCCCTCTTGCCTTTATTGTAGGACTTCCCTTTTCACTAGTTTTTTTAGTGTTTCTATAACCTCACTCTGTGTTTTGTTCCTGGTAATGTGTTACTCTGTTGTTTCTTATAAGAACAAAGTTCAGAACACAACTTGTCAGATCACACTGGTTTCTCCCCACTTTGCTTTCTAAAATTATTCATGGCCTTCTTTGCCAGAGTTTGATTTTTTGGGTATGTAACCAACACTCACATTAAGAAACCCTATTCTAGTAGATGTGGAGAAAGATTCCTCACTCCCATAATCACCTCAGGCCTCTGGCAACTTTTGTAGTCTGTTTGTAAAAAGCCTTATTTCATCCTATATCTAGACACAATATTCAATATTTTTAACACTTGTATTTTAGTATGCTGTACGTGGAGATAACATGCTTCTATTGATCCTGATCCCTCTCCATCTTATTTACAGAGAAGATGCAAGGCAGGCTGTTGACACTTCCTGACATACCTTTCTGGGCTTGCTCTTTCAGCCCAACATTTTCACTTACTAGCTTCAAAGGCTATGAGGTCCCAATCAAGACACCCTACTCTGTAAAGTCCTCTTTATGCCAGTTTGACTTAGCTTCAATTGGCACAGAAAAAAATTGGAAACTGAAAGATGTGATTGTAAGCTTATATGGCAAACAGGAGAAGATAGCTGTGTGCAAAATAGTTCATGGCTAACAGAATGATGTTTCTTTAGCTAGCAAATTTGTATGTTGTGAATGCCATTAGCATGATGGCATGTACTTGACAACTTGTAGAGTTATACTGCCATCTATGTAGATGCTTTTTTAAAATTTTAGTAAAAAATACAGAAGTGAGTTTTACCTCAGTGAATTTCTACAACATGCAAATTAGCTTGTCATAAATAAATAAAGTAAATTTACTTTATAATATGCATATTTTCTAGTTTGATTTTGGAACTGGTAAAAAGCATGCTATGTATTCTTTCAAGTATTATAATCAAACATAGGATATATTTGTTAAAAACAAACTTGGAACTATTTCTGCAAAATCTGAACATTGAATCACTGACAAAACTTGAATTTCAAAATTTTTAATTTGTCTTTCTCAGATGTAATTTAAATATAATCAGTTTAAGATGTTTCTAAAAAGTGATTTGCAAAGAAACAAATGTTATTTTTAGGCTATCAAAGTTACTTTCCAAAGTAAAGATTATGTGTTATTCACACTTTAAATATACATACTTATTTATATTATTTTTAAATAGAGGATTTCTCTGCCATTCTCACTACTTTCTCCTCAAAAGAAGAGACCATATGTTTTAGATAAAATAAAAAGAGCTCTATACAGAGGCCTGCTTATCCTTAAGGTCTCAATGAAGATAATGTGCATTAGTAAGGGAAAAATTATAAGTATCATGAAAATATAAGATATAGTTCATTATATATGTGTATATATACGTGTGCATTATGTATGTGTGTATATATATCTATAAACAAATATGAAAATATATGTGTTGGTATAGATGCACAAATATATATATACAAATATACAAACGTATATATTTGTATATATGCAAATATATATATTTTTTTGCATTGGTTGTATGATACAGTAAGTCTTTAATAAATATGAACTATTTTCATTCCCCACAAATTTGATATTGAGCGTTCACAAGATGAAATATGTGAAAGTAGTCTTTGTTTGTATTATTAACACCCTCAGGTGTTAACAGTATAAACAAAGAAAGAAAACGAAACAAGGAGAAATATTTCCTTGTTAAATATCATTGCCTTTTCCTTGATATACCAGAGATAAACCAAAGTAAGATATTCAACATCTTGGAATTCTTGGCAGTGGCAGATGGCAGGGCGGTTATAAGATTTTTACTTGCTCCCGAAGGACACTGTGACTACCTTGATTATACTTATCTTAACATACTAATTTTTTGTTTATGTGTCTGTCTCTGAGAATGGAAACCATTAATGTAGCTGTCTACATTAACATGACCCTACACTCACTCTACCGTCTCCTAGTTTATTCTATGAGCTTCTGGACTTCTTCAGTATATCTAGTGTAATTCTAGAATTGCACTAGAATCTACTGTATAAACTATTGATTAATGCTTTCTATTGAATATAAATTCTTCACTTGATATTATTGACATCAATTGATTTTCTTCAATATCAATTCTGTAGTGTCTAGAGTACACTCTTAGGGATACCTGATTCTGATTTGATAGGAGCTAATTGACAACTCTATAAATTATAAAAGCTGATAGCAAGGCAAAACAATTTTTGTCTATAAACAAATACATTCTTGTGTAGGCAAATTCTTCCCAATAGACTGAATTGACTCTTTTCCCCAACATTGGAAAAATGTACTTTTGTCTGTACTTTCATTTCAATCATCTTAAGCTATAAATATGTCTGGTTTTTGAGTTCTCCCTTGAACTATCTGTAACATCTTACTGGTTCCTTCATTAAGGAATTTTATAAAATATTTAACATATGTTAATTTTTATGTCTTAATTTTGTGTTTTTTGGGGAAAAGGTTCCTTAAATGGTACTTGTTTTATTTCACTGTAGAACCCATTTTGGATATATTTACACACACACACACACACACACACACACACATTAAAGCTCTTTCTTCTGACATAATATAATTTTAAAATAGCAAAAGGGAATAAAATTGTTGCTATGTTTATTCATTGTTTTGGATACAGTGCATCATGGTCCTACAGTAGTAGAAGAATTTTAGGTTTCTTGAAATGTTATATTTTATAATCACAAACAATCTTTATCAGTAGCAACAAGGTTAGGAGTAACAACAAATTATTTTAATTATAATTCCCTAGCCAAGGATAATAATATTGTACTGTAGCAAAACAAACAAGCTGAGAAGCAGAGGGGTATGTGGAACATGTTTGCGGTATGCCAAAGGAATGATTACGATTTGACTACCAGGTTTTGTTTGTACTCACTGAGGGCTAATGAGCAATGGAGAGAATTTTATGCAGGAGCTGCTCTTGTGGAGGGAACAGAGAGAGACTAGGTGACTAGAAGAATAAGGAAAAGGGAAAGCAAACAAATATAATCATATCCATCTAAGAATGTGGCTTCCTATAAATAGGGAGCCTGTCACCATGGGCATATCTAAATGACAGGAATGTAAAGAGCAGTGTCTGAGTGTCATTTACTCTGCTTCATAGTTGAAACCAAAATTCCCTTCACTAGCCTATTCTACTCACTTATTCTTCCTAATATGTATTCATCTAAAGAAAAACAGGATCATTTGGATTATCCCATGAAGCCCAAACAAATAGACAAAAACATAGTAGCACATAGGAGAAACTACTTGTATTTGAAATAGAAAGGTTCTGGAAGCAAAGTTTTTCTGTCCCAAATACAAGGCATCTACTTTTTTTTTTATAGTCTCGCTCTGTTACCAGGCTGGAGTGCAGTGGCACAATCTCGGCTTAATGCAGTCTCCACCTCCTGAGTTAAGGTGATTCTCTTGCCTCAGCCTCCTGAATAGCTGGGATTACAGGTATGTACCGCCACATCCAGCTAATTTTTGTATTTTTAGTAGCGACAGGGTTTCACCATGTTGGGTCAGGCTGGTCTCAAACTCCTGACCTCAGGTGATCCACCCACCTCAGCCTCACAAAGTGCTGGGATTACAGGCATGAGCTATGATGCCCGGCCACGTGGCATCTACTAAACCAGTCAGGAATCAGTAGATCATCAGCAAACAGGTAGTGTCTACCTTTGGGGATGTTGGCTGAGTTCATTTTAAGTCTTTGAAAACTATTCTTGGTTTCTCTAGGAAGGAACCATAAAATGTAAGACATACTGGCACAAATACTGCCACTTAGTAAGTTGCAAAAAGGTTTGGCTGTTAATAGCTCGCAGAATTCCTGTTTGCCTTACTTTTCCAGAAGTAATGAAAAAATTGATATGCTTTACAGTGAGTAAGTACAGTAAGGGGTTCATATGATGTTAAAAGGAATGCCTTTCTATATGACAAACACATACCAGCTTAAAGGGTTTCCTATTGATCACAAAACATCAGAAGGCCTTAGTCTGCACTTATAAGAATGAGATCAGTACAGGACTCTATTAAATGCTTGATTTGGATGAGTTGGTAGCTCAGCATTCCATCAGTCAACCATTAAAATGAACTGCCAGTGACGAATGCCACGAGAGTTAAGTACAGAGCTAGAACTGCGCCATCATCAACTCCTGTTAAAGAAAATCATAACTAAGGAATTAAATCTGGGGCAAATTGCCCAAAGTATTCACAAGTATAACATCTACCATAGAATCATTTTTGGGAGAGATAACTTGACATTTTTTTTGTCTTCTGGCTTTTGTCAAGACTATATCTAAAACTGCTGCACACCAATGAATTTGTCCTATTGTAAAAAATCATTTAGAGAATGATTTTCTGGCATCCATTTAAATGATTAATCACTCATACTTTAAGAAACTTCTTTCTTATAGTTATTTCTAAAACTTGAGGCTGGGTGTAGTGGCTCATGCCTGTAATCCCAACTCTGGGAGGCTGAGGGGGGCGGCAGATTGCTTGAGCTCAGAAGTTCAAGACCAGCCCGGGCAATATACCAAAACGCTGTCTCTACTAAAACTACAAAAAATAGCTGGGTGTGGTGGTACATGCCTGTAATCCCAGCTACTTGGGATGCTGTGGCATAAGAATCGTTTGAACCAAGGAGGCAGAGGTTGCACTGAGCCGAGATTGTGCCACTGCCCTCCAGCCTGGGCCACAGAACGAGACTCTGTCTAAAAACAAAAACAAAAACCTTCCTAAGGCACAAACCCATTTCTTTTCATCTTTAAAATAAATTTACAAAAGGCTCTATAATATACTCAAAAATAGAAGGGTAGAATGGCCAATCACATATATGCAACAATTTTCAAGATTTTCCCATATTTGCATCTATTTTCTTTGATAAAACATTTTAAAGCAAATTCTAGACATATATACTTCACTATGGATGCCTAAATTTTAAAAGATTTTGACATTCATTTCTATCCATTAGGCAACACTATCACACCTAGTGAAATTAGCAGTCATTCTTTGGTGGAATCCATGAACCAAAATCTCCTCTCTTGGCAAAAATATCTTTTTGCAGCTGGTTCTTTAAATCATTCAAACAAGGCCCACATATTATAACTGATTAAATCTTTAGTCATTAAGACCAGTGCCTCTCAAACTTAAATATGTAAATGAATCACTTAGGGATCTTAAGATTCGGTAGGGTCTAGGCAGGACCAGAGCTATTGCATTTTAACATCTCCCAGGTAGTGCCAATGTTGCTGGACTCAAAGTGGACCACACTAGCAAGACCCTAGCAAAGACCCATTTGTTTTGTCTTGTTTTGTTTTGAATTCCAAGAGCTTGTTATAGGAACAGGTCAGTTATCCTGGTCTAGATTTGCATGTTTGCTTCCATGTGGTATTACTGAACTCATTCCTCCTTTATTACCCTTAATTTGTAATTAAGTAAATGATGTTAAGCCTAAAAACTTGAATAGACTCAAGCTCACCCTTTTTGGGGAATAATTTATTGAGGAGATACGTGATCATTTAAGTATTTGATCTGTAGGAATATCATCCTTATACTTCACAGTAATTATAGTGTTAAAAAGAGGGCTCTACAGTCAGATTTCTGTTAGTTCACATCCACCTCCATCACTTACTACTTGTATGACTTCAGCAAGTTACTTAATTTCCCTAACCTCAGTTTTCTCATCTGTAAAATAAGTAAAATAATTATAGAACACATGACGAGTGATCAGTAAATGTATGCTATTATAACTTGATTTTGTAACATTTTTACTCTGAGACAAAATATTTTGGTTGTTGAGACGTTTCTACTAAAACTAACTTTTTGGTCCTATGTTCATTTGAGGCTACCCTATAAATCAGCTATAGGTTTGCACGGAACTAGGCAAGACCCTCAGAGGGAGCATATTACTAGTTTTTGGAGGATTTTCTTTTCATATTTTAACTTACCTGTCAGGTTATAATGGCTCATAAAGCCTAAAAATAAGACTTTAACAAATCTTATATTAACTCAACCAAGTAAGTCTTTCAAAGAATATTAGTTCTTGGTAGTTTATCATAGAAATTTTGTAACAAAATGGTACTAAGTAAAATGTTTCAAAATCATCCTAAGGTGGATATTAGAAAACTAAGGGAGATTATCGTTGATTCATGGAAATCCCATATGAATTATATAGCCTTTTTGTATGTCCTTATTAATAAGTAAATTGCTAGAGTTAAGTATATGGGACTTCTGATATTTCCTTATCTTTGTTTAATAAGCTTCTGCAATTTGGAATGAATCTCCAAATTAAATTGACACTTTAGGAAATCTAAGAAGCTAGAGAAGGAAGCCTAGAATGATCCAAAATAGCAATGTACATTATGAGTTGTCTTATGACTTTAGGAGCATAGCAGATGATTTATGTGAACATGAAGTCTACAATTATAAGTTGAAGCCATGACTAGTAAATTATTCCTCTCCTGGTAATAAATTCCATCAGCACAGAGTAACTTTTAGCCACCTTTCAAAAGAAGCAACTGCTGGCCCAGATGATCAGGGCCAAAAATAAATTAGGTAACAAGCCCAACATCCTTCTACACGTTGGTCTTTTCTTTTTTCCTTTTGAGCTTGATTTATTCATATGTCTTTCCTAGAAGACTATGACTTTCAGAGATATATTATCTTACTTTAATGATACAGAGATGGTAGAATTGACAAAGAATACTAGGACAAAAGAAAAATAATTCAAGGGAATATTTTGAAAGTCAGCAACATTCTAAGTTATTTCTAAGACAGCCATATAATAGCAGCAGAGTAAAGTAGTGCTATTACCATAATTTTGTAGTATTTACTATTATACAATATTTTGTTTGGCTAGTTGTTTTTGAAACAGGGTCTCGCTCTGTCACCTAGGCTGGAGCACAGTGATGTGATCTTAGCTCACTACAACCTCTGCCTCCTGGGCTCAAGCAAATATCTTACCTCAGCCTCCTGAATAGCTGAGACCACAAGCACACACCACTATGCCCAGCTAATTAATTTATTTTTTTGTATTTTTGGTAAAGACAGGGTTTTGCCAGTTGCCCAGGCTGGAATATGCAATATTTTAAATCATACTATTTACATTGTGATGCAAGGAAAGCATAACTAGAAATTATATGACAGGTTACAAAATTATGTCTAACTTGACGAAAGGCAGAAAAAATTGAAATAAAAGAAAAGAGGTATATAAACTGTTTCCTTTTTTTGAGTGCTTGGACCAAAATTAATGTCAACACAGAAGAATCATTGGCCAACAAGAAAAACCTATTAATTATTAGATAGTAGAGCATTTCATTTGACAACTTGTTTGATTTTCAGACATTTAACTGCATTTAGCCTGAAACTACTGATTAAAAACCAAACATAAAAATGAACTAGATGAAACAAGATTATCCAGAAACAATAACATTTTAAAAACCTGTTCTAATTTTAGGCCATAGCAGCTTTCTAAAAATTATCCATATAAAGATAAAAGACACAGAACATACTTTATGTGATTAATCACTTGAATAATGGATGATACTGCAAAACTAGATACGTACTTGTAAGACATCACTTGGAGGTAATGTTTGTTTCACATTAAGTTTGAAGAACACAATTTTTTTCCTCTCTAAATCTTTTATTAAAATCTGAAGGGTAGCTCTAACTGGATCACGTATCTTTCTTCATTTTGAATCTAGAAAAGGTTCTGTCTTCCTAATCTATATTTAGGTTTAGGGAGCATATTAACATTTTCTCAGTGAGTATACCCTTTTTGGTGTCCTTTTCTAGGATAATAACTAAAATATTCCTAGGGCCTCTGATTTTATTTCAGTTTCCAAACTAAGTATTTAGCATATTTTTTGTACTGTATCTTGATGAGGCATATAGTAGTATATAAGGTGCTATAATAAATAGCAGGCATAGCAATTTTCTTAGAACTTTACTGAAGGGATTTTTTTCAGGTGGCAATTAAATCACTATCTCTGCAATATTTTCTGCAAGTAAACTGTGCTAAAGATCACAGAACATCTGTATGACATTATTAGAATCAAATCTTTCTTAGTAGGTTGATTATGATTCTTTACAACATGATCTAGTTCATTATTGGCATATAGTAACCATTTAATAAATATCTGTTAAATAAATAAATACATACTAACAGAATGCAATGAAAACATATTACATATTCTCTTATTGCTCTCAATATAGGCTTACATTGTAAAATATTCTACCTTTAACAATTCAATTTACAATAACTTAAAAATTAAGACCGCAAAAACATTTTGCTAGGGTTCTTATGGCAGCTAAAGAAAAGACTAATAGATAAATTCAAAGTGAGATGCTTAAACAGTTCAAGGGTGAATATTTCTAAAGACTTTACATTGCTACCTTAATTTTGTGTTCTATCCACATACATGTAATGCAACAGGTTAACATCCTCACCTAATGCTATCAACAGCCACCACAGAATAGTTGCTAGCTTTTAGAAAACCACAAGTGATAATGTAATATTTACACTTATCTCTATTTATAGATAACATATTTATATGTTTGTATTTATATTCTATTTATATAGATGTGGAAATTAATGTAATAAAGGAAGAAACTAAGATATAAGGAGTATTAGTAATGATCAAACATACACAGGGTTAAGTCAGCTCTTACTCTGATCTAAAAAGCTTCAAGCACTTCCACTCTCTTGGTTTCTTTTTTGCCTTTCATCTCTCAACCACTCACATATTGGTCTTTCTTACCTTTCATTATTGAACGAGTATTTGACATGTTTAATCAATATTTTCTCCTTTTCCAATTATCTTTGTGCCCAGTAACTTCTCCTCGTCTCTCTCTGACCAACTCCCCGAATGTCCCTTACATTTTCTCCCTGCACCTTCTGCCCTCAGTCAGCACAGGCAGCAACACAGCATGAAGCAGGGTTTTGGTGCTCTTTGTCAATAGCAACTGAGCCCTAGAACTAGAAGGGTTAGAACCAGAGAAAGCAAGGAACGTGTTTTTGATAATTCTATACACTAAAAAGAATACTTTTAGTAGATATTTTAATCACATATACAAATCTGGCTAATTAAAAGTTTTTCACTTTTTAATTTATGTTTGGCATGCTGTAAACCCCCTAGGAAATATTATGCCTTGTACCTTCCTCTTTGCTCATCTGCTGTCATGGTACTTTGTGTAAATAACCTACTTCCCCTTCCAGATCACTCTACCATAGTCTTTACTTCTTGCATGTGTTTATGAGTTCTGCTGTGCCTGTTAAGTGAAAAGACAAAGAAACCTTACAGTGACACAACAATAAAACACAACAAGAAAGCACAGAATCTAAAGACTTGGTTTCTAGTTTTATAGTAGATGTATAACTCACTGGCCAAGTGTCTTAGGCAGGCACGACCTTTACCATTCCTGTGCCTGTTTTCTTAGCTGAAAAATGGTGAAGTTGAAGTCCAAATTGTAAGAGTCCTTCTCTGTTCAGAGACTGAATGAGGTAAGCCCTATTTACACCTATGTCATTCATCTCTGCAACAACCTTGATGGGAAGGAGAGTAACATTATCTCCACACTGCAGATAAAGAAACGGAAGCTAAAGGCGATTGTAGGACTATTCTACGGTTGCACATTTGTCTGGTAGCAGCACTAGGACCCAAACCCGGGCTTTATTTGCCTTTTATATCTACAGAGAAAGCTAAGCCATAATCTCCGTATATAAAGAGGAGA